GGGTGGGATACCGGGTTTGGGGGGGGGGGAGTTCAAAGCAGGGCGGGAGGGGAAACTAAGGAGGCTCGTAGCAACCGGGGCTGCTCAGGCTCTGTCTGCTGCCACTGTGCCTGCTCCCCCCCCCCTCACGCCTGCCAAAGCTCAGGCAGGCAGATTTACAAGGCGGCTCTGAACAGCTCGGGTTTTAGAGATTATGGGGTTTACAGGAGGCCATGGCACATAGGAACATGAGAACATCAGAAGAGCCCTGATGGATCACATCTAGTCTAGCATCCTGCTTCACTCAGTGGCCAACCACAGTGGCCCACGAGTTTCTCTGCATGGCCAACAACGGGGCAGAGAGGCTGAGGCCTTCATGAGAACATCAGAAGAGCCTTGCTGGATTAGACCAGTGGTACACCTAGTCCAGCATCCTGTCTCCCAGAGTGGCCAACCAACTCCTCTGGAGGGCCACCAGTGGCCGAGGCCTTCCTAAGAACATCAGAAGAGCCCTGTTGGATCAGACCAGTGGTCCATCTAGTCCAGCATCCCGTCTCACACAGTGGCCAGCCAGTTCCCCTGGAGGACCAATAACGGGGCACAGAGGCTGAGGCCTTCACAAGAACATCAGAAGAGTCCTGCTGGATCAGACCAGGGGTCCATCCAGTCCAGCATCCTGTCTCACACAGCGGCCAACCAGTTCCTCCTGAGGGCCAACCGCAGGCCACAGAACCCAAGGCCGAGGCCTTCCCCCAATGTTTCCTCCTGGCTCTGAGATTCAGAGGCTGACTGCCTCTGAAGGTGGAGGTTCCCCTCAGTCATCATGCCTATGCGGCCTAGAACCCTCGTACCTGTGGGACTGCCTCTCCACACACGAGTCCTGGAGAGCTTTACGCTCTTCTGATCGACATCTCCTGGTGGCCCCCGGCCCGAGGGACGTCCGCTTAGCCTCAACCAGGGCGAGGGTCTTTCGGCCCTCACCCCGGCGGAACACTCTCCCACCTGAGATCGGGGCCCTGCAGGGCTTCTTACAGTTCCGCAGGGCTTGTAAGATGGAGCTGTTCCGCCAGACCTTTGGCTGAGGTGGCAGAATCGCTCTGCCCCCTCCCCATCCACGGCCCGGTCGATGACCCCTTCCCCAGTGCCCTTGCCGTTCCGGATATGACTTGGGCGCCGGGATTTCTTGGGGGTAATTATTCCATGAGGTTCTATCTGCTGTTGCTATTTATGGTCTTAATGTTTGTTGGTTTTCTGTTGTGAGCCGCTCCGAGCCCATTCTTGAGGTAGGGCAGGGCACAAAACAAACAAACTAACAAACGAATACTCAAGTCTAATACCCACCGGTAGACTTATATGAGCCAGTTTGGTGGAGTGGTTTAAGTGCGCGGGCTCTAATCTCGGAGAACCAGGTTCGATTCCCCATGCCTCCACATGCAGCTGCTGGTGTGACTTTGGGACAGTCACAAGTTCTCTCGGAGCTGTTCTCTCAAGGCCAGTCCTCCACAGAGCTCTCTCAGCCCTGCCTACCTCCCAGGGTGTCTGTTGTGGGGAGGGGGAGGGAAAGGAGTTTGCAAGCCGCTCTGAGACTCCTCTGGGTAGTGAAGGGCGGGGTAGGAATCCAATCTCTTCTTCTCATATGGTCGGAGAGTGCCTCGTAGGGCTGAAACCAGTAATGTTCCCTCAAAACCAGACTCCCGAGCCGTGCCTGACCGGCTGCTGACAAAGCACCGGGAGCATCGTGCATGTGGGCAGGGGACAGCCGGCCGATGCGCTCCCCACCACCAGATCCCCTGCAGCAACCTCCGAGCAGAAAACACTGCCATGAGCTGCCCTGGGCCTCCCTCCAAGACTGGGTAAGCCACCTCCCGAGGAGACCAGCTTTCCACCGAACACTTTCCTGCTCGTCAAGGAGACTGGGATGAAGCGGCGCCGGGATTCGGCCTCAAGAGCAGCCTGCTGGCTCACCCCCAAACCTAATCTTCAGTGACACGGCTAAGATTCTCTGGTGCGAAGCATCCCGGGGGCTACTGGCCAGGCCTGGGTTGAGAGGAGCCTCCGGCTTCCTTCACCGGGTCCCGTTTGCGATCCACCAGAACATGCTTCCAATGGTCCATTGTAGGATCATGGAATGTTAGCGTTGGGAGGGGGCCTTGCCTGCCTCTGTGTAGCAACCCAGGGCTTCCTCGGTGGTCTCCCATCCAAGTATTAACCAGGGCCGACCCTGCTTAGCCTCTGAGATGTGACAGGATCAGGCTACCCTGAGCCATCCTGGTCAGGGCAGATGAACAGAGGTGGTTTGCCACTGTCTGCCTCTGCGTAGCAACCCTGGACTTCCTTGGTGGTCTCCCATCCAAGTATTAACCAGGGCCGACCCTGCTTAGCCTCTGAGATGTGACAGGATCAGGCTACCCTGAGCCATCCTGGTCAGGGCAGATGAACAGAGGTGGTTTGGCCCTTGCCTGCCTCTGCGTAGCAACCCTGGGCTTCCTTGGTGGGTCTCCCATCCAAGGACTAACCAGGGCCGACCCTGCTTAGCTTCTGAGATCCGACAAGACTGGGCCATCGTGGCACATTATTAAACCAGGGAGAGCAAGGAAGGGACTGCGTGGGCAAAGAGGGCATCCGAGGGAGGGGTGGGGTGGCTTAAAGCGTCAGGTCCTTCCTACGGCCCACCCCCTTCTGACCCCCCGTGTCAAGACCTACGACCCCAAAGCGGCAGCCAACCAAACCAACAATACAGAGGGGGCATCGGGAACATGCCGACTTTGGGGGGGGGGCACGTGCGGGCAAGGCGGGCGGTGGGTCAGCGCAGGTAAGCTCACCTGGGCGTGCTTGAAGATGTGCATGATGAAGATCGTGAGCCCCAGCCCGAAGATATAAGCCACAAAACTGGTGTAGAAATACGTGTGCGTGTTCTTCTTCAGGCTGAGTCGGGAAGGAAACAAAGAGTGTGGTGTTACGCCCACCATGGAGTCTGGCGGCAGCCGTCGGGGTGGGGGGTGGGGAGAGAAACCCAGGCAGGCATCTAGATATACCATACCTCTCCCCAACCATACCTCCCCCCAGGGACTCACCTGATATCAAACCGCAAGAGCAGAGCAATGAAGATTCCTAAAAAGCCGGGGGAGGGGTGGCGGGGGGGAGGGAGAGAAGAAACCGTTAAAACCGAAATCCTGTGTGGTGTAGAAGGAGAAGAGAAGAGATTGGATTTATACCCTGCCCTTCACTTGGAGTCTCAGAGCAGCTGACAAACTCCTTTCCCTTCCCCTCCCCACAACAGACACCCTGTGAGGTAGGTGGGGCTGAGAGAGCTCTTGACACTCTTTTTTCAAGGACAGCTCTTATCAGAACTACGGCTTGCCCAAGGCCATCCAGCCAGTTGCAAGTGGAGGAGTGGGGGAATCAAACCCAGTTCTCCCAGATTAGAGTCCGCACCACTGCACCAAACTGGCTCTCTTTTTATTTTAAATATAGAATCAACATCTGTAGCAGTTAGAGAGTCAGAGACCCAGGTTCAAATCCCAACCTTGCCATGGAAGCCTGCTGGGTGACGCTGGAACAGCTGTATACTTGGGGCCTAACTTACTCCATCGGGCTAGATTTGAGCCAAGAGACCAAGCAGGTTTCCAGGGTAGAAGCGTTCAACACTCAACTCAAAGGATGATACCCAGGAAAACCTTGTTGGTCTTTCGGGCACGACTGGACTCAAATCTATCTGTGCCACTGCAGACACACACATTTACCAACCTGTAATTTACTTTGCAGTGTGGTCGTGGGTAGGGATGGGCACAAACCAAACCATGAACAGGGTAAAATTCATTGTCAATTTTGCCCTGTTTGTGGTTCGCGAACTTAAGTTCGTGACGGTTCTACTTTTAAAGCAGTTCGTGACGGTTTGTGGATACAGCAGAAAGCAGGGGTTTAAAGGGACTCTGAATCCCTTTCTGTTCCCTGTGAAAGCCACAAAAACAGCTGAGCTGCTCAGCTGTTTTTCACCCTCTCTGCAAACCCTGTTTAAAAGGACTGTGGACCCTTTCAATGGGGTCTGCAGAGCCACGAACCGGTTCGGTTCCCGAACGAACCTCCCAGTTCAATTTGGTTCGTGGTTCGGCCATGAATCGCATTCTTCCAGTTTGTACCCAACCCTAGTTGTGAGGACAAAATGGAGGAGAGGAAAACTATGTCAGCTGCTTGAGTTCCCCACTGGGGACAAAGCTGGAGTATAATTGAAGTAAATAAATAAAATGAACAAGAATGGGGGGGGGAGAACTCGGTCTTCTGCATTTAAAGGCTGCTCCTAGATCCGTAAGGCTAGAGTACCCTCTTGTGGCAGACATCTGTATTGCAGCTCCTTACACAATCCCCTGGTAGGGGCAGGCCGAGCCAGCGAGTTGGATTAGGATTTGCGCACGTGTCTCTCTCACTGTCTCTCTTGTTTTTAGTTGTACTGCACCCAGAGTCTCAAGTGAGAAATGCAGACTATAAATTAAATAAACATACACATTTGGATCATTTTAACAGGAATGACAGGGTCTGCGTGTGCGTTTTACCCTGGTGGAATCCATAGGACTTTGGCCAACAGCTGCTGTGCCCAAATGGAAACTTTCCTCCTGGGAGCCGGCGTTTTCGCAAACATGAATCAAGGACATTTGGGGTTGTTTTTGTGCTCCCCCACCCGGCTAAAAGTAAAGTTTGTAAAAGGGCACTCTCTTCTGAAATGCTATCAAAGGTAAAGGTTTCCCCTGCTCGAAAGCCAGTCGAATCCGACTCTAGGGTTGCGGTGCTCATCTCCGTTTCAAAGCCGAAGAGCCAGCGCTGTCCGAAGACGTTTCCGTGGTCATGTGGCCGGCAAGACTAAACACCAAGGCGCACGGAACGCTGTTACCTTCCCACTGAAGTGGTACCTATTTATCTACTTGCAATTTCTTGCTTTCGAACTGCTAGGTTGGCAGGAGCTGGAACTAGAGATGGGAGCTCACTCTGTCATGCGGCACACTCAGGTCTCGAACTGCTGGACTACCGACCTTCCACAGCCTGCTATTACATGTTGCTAAAAATCTCAAAAAAGGGGGAACGATGGAGGAGATGGACTGCATTCTCTTCCCCACACACGAAACAGTTGGTGTAGTGGTGAAGTGCGCAGACTCTAATCTGGGAGAACCGGGTTTGATTCCCCACTCCTCCGCTTGCCGCTGCTGGATGACCTTGGGCAAGCCGTAGTTCTAATAAGAGCTGTTCTTGAAAAAGAGCAGTTTCTGTCAAGAGCTCTCTCAGCCCCGCCTACCTCACAGGCAATGTTCTATCTAAGCTGTGGAGTCCTGTGAGCAAAAATTCTACTTTGTGAGCTACCGGCATTAAAGTTGTGAGCAGGTGAATTGGCTACTGAATAACTTAGTTTGCTCTGGAATCATCCTTCCTGAGCTAAGACAAAAATGTGTGAGCCGGAAGCTAAAAAACTGTGAGCTAGCTCACACTAACTCAGCTTAGAGGGAACACTGCTCACAGGGTGTCTGTTGTGGGGAGGGGAAGGGAAAGGAGTTTGTAAGCCGCTCTGAGACACCTTCTGGCAGTGAAGGACGGGGTATAAATCCAATCTCCTCCTCCACTCCACTTTCAATCCATATTCAGTGCACTTTAGCGATCGTTGAAGCCAGTGGATTTTGCTGTTTCACATGTAAAAATCTAGTTGCAAAGTGCATCGAAAGCGGACTGGAAGGGCATTGTTCAGTGCGTGCGAAAGCGCCCCTGGGAGGCAGCGGCAAGTAGCAAGGGTGGGCGAACAGGCCAGGGGAGGGTGCAAAGCTGTTTCTGGGAAGGCTTCTGTTGGAGAAGTGGGGGACGCTGGGGG